CTAGGGCTCCTCTGTTAACACCTGCTGAAGCCCTTAGCATACTGGAAGCCATTGTTCTTGCCTCCAAGTATGTCTCTATGGTTGCATTTCTCAAACTTTGTGTGCTTTGTTACCTGGACACTCTATGAAGTCTCCAACTGCAGAGCCCATCAAATTAAAGGTCAGTTAGAAACCCTTTGTCTAGTTGGCCAAAATGATGTGCTGTTGCTTTCTGCACCTGGATACCTGATCAGGAGTTGGGTACCTGGCTGTTACCTAGTTGTGGTTTCCTGCACCTGGCTACAGTTTTGTTATTTAGTTGTTACCTGGTCACAGTTTTTTTGTTTTTGTTTTGTTTTTGTTGTTGTTTGTTTGCTTTTGTATAAAAACCTGTTTTAGGAGGAGACCAGTCATAGTCTGGCCCCAGGTTGTGGTCCTGGCTTGTCAGTTCCTGTTTAGCATCCAATAATCATCTGTTGAGCTTAGAGTGGCTATTCCTGAACCCCTAACAGTACAGGAGCAGAGGAAGACCCTTAACACATTCAAATGGTGATTTATCTTGACAGTGGAGCCAATGCTGACTTAAATATATATATTTTTAAATATATACATATATTACATATGTATACATAATATACATATATACTTAAAATATATATAAACAAGGAGAAGAAAACTCGGAGAAGTCCTACTGTAACTAAACCTCAAATAGGTAGTTTCTTAAATAAAAAAAAAAAAACAACTCGGATTTTGTTCTGCTGACTGGTTGTGTCGTAATTGTTTTCTTGTGGGAACCAATGACGTATGTGTGCTAGGCTCCCAAGTGCTGCACCTGTTAGCTCCGTGTCAGCGGTATCGAGCAGGCCTACGCCATCCAGTCAGGGGTGTGTCAGGTGTGGGCGGGGTAGGAAGTTGTCCAATCCATCGAGTGAGGTAGGGTTATAGCTTGTTTAGTGTGTTCACTTCACCTGTACACACGCCTAAGAACAACTAAAAGGTTCCAGAACTGACTGTTACATGCTAGTACAAGCTCTCTACGCTGGCTATAATTACCTGGTACTTTAAAATCCCATCAAATACAAAACTCACTGCAGAACTGTTTGAATGGAGCCAGAACAAAGGCTTTTCAAAGCCCCTCCAGGGGGCTGCAGGCCCAGAACCAACCACCATTTTTAAATACGTACAACGGGAAAGAAGCAAGTTGTTTACAGCCTCATCTCGGTTTCCCACACTCACAACAGCAAGATCTACCAGCTGTGTGTGAACGATCTCAGTTTAAAGTTCCGCCTGGTGACTTTAGTTCTTGATGGGGTAATTTACTAAGTGGTACCAGGCATGAGATGGGCAACTTCCTGCAGAGTGGACTCCACGCTGAGGAAGCTCTTCATTGCCTGCATCTTCAAAGACCAACGTCTTACTGATTTTAACTGAATTGCGTGTGTTTTTATGTCACATTGATAATTCTGTCTAAAATAATTTCATCTGAATAGTATTAACAATAAATAAAAATAAAAGCCAGTAAAAATCAATAATTCTAAAGCCTAATAAATGCTTTTTTTCAGCTAGCAAATAATATTATGCAATTACAAATACATCCACATGCTCTCTGGGTATACAAATACAGATGGTATATGCATCTAATATATTAATATGTTATGTACTTATATAATACATATTAGTAAGAATGAAGATTCAACTATTTTAATGGGTTTTCAAGCTATAGTCCACTAGATAAGCTTGAAGTTGCTTTCTCATTCATGAAACAATTAAGAAGGACATATTTTTTAATGTAAACAGGTTACTTAAACCGTTGTACTTTTATATCCAATGAGAAAAGAGGAAAGGAATGCAACAGCACATCACGTTTGCTCACCTGGACAGGACTTCTGTGTGTGTGTGTGTGTGTGTGTGTGTGTGTGTGTGTGTGTGTGTGT